ACTTTTCATTCATTGGCATTAAATATAGTCACACTGATCATTCAAAAAAGGACTTCAAATAGATGCAAGCTGAGCCTGCAACTTAAGCTAAATTTTCTGAAAATGATTTTCACTGGCTAGTTTGTCCAACAAATTCATTAGTGAAAATTTCACAGAAATTCAACCAAAGAACAAAATTTAATTTGAATGCATTCATCTTGTTCAGCATTTAACACAGTATAGGAAAAACAATTATTCCATCTACAGATCTGTGTTGAAAGTAGCTAAAATTGGTCTCTAGACTTAGCTCCTGGGTTCTGAAACACCTGTTTTTGTAAAATTTTAAAATGCTTCATATTTTATTTACAGAGAAGTACTTGGATCAAGAGTGGAGTAGAAATTTAAATCTCTGAGATTAAAAAAAAACCCCATAAGATAATGGTTATGGAATCTATATTTAAATGTTTATAAGTTAAGATAGGCTTTGGCATGACTGGGAGATTTTCTATTTTAGGTTTGAGTTCCTTTGAAAAATAAAATTTTGTAAAAGTATGTATGAGTAGATTATTGTCAAACATCCACAAGCATAGGCAAGCACTGAAGGTGGAATTTGTTTTGTTTAAATTACCTGAAAACTTTGATTTTATAAATTATAAATGTTACTATATCTGTTTTTTAGAACATCTGGAACCAGATGTTTGAGTTGGGTAGGTCTTTAAAAATATTTTTTATTGATTTTTAGACAGAGAAGAAGGTCGAGGGGGGGAGAGAGAGAGAGAGACAGACAGACAGACAGACATGGATGTAACAGTGAAACATCAATTGGTTGCCTCCTGCACACCCCCCACCGGGGATTGAGCCTACAATTCAGTCATGTGCCCTGACCTGAAATTGAACCTGCAACCTTTTGGTGCACAGGACAACCCCAAACAACTGAACCAAATGAAGCAGGACTTGAGTTGGGTAGTTTTTAGAAAATATATTAACTTTGGTTACCCACAGCTTCATTCAATGGGTACTTCAGTAGCCATCTTTTAGGAGATGTAGTAGCCCTGCCTTTAAGAGAGAACAAATTAATTTCTTAATTAGCTCATAGTATAGGAATCAATTAGTAGTGACATTTGATTCCTCCAAATGGGAAAATTCTAAGCACAATGTTTTAGATTGTCTAACATTCTTTACTAAAAAATATTTCAAAATTGGCGTCTTAAAACATATTAATTTGGGTGTGATTGTACTATGTTTACGAAATTTCCCATTGAAAAATATTGTCTCTTGAAAGGGTACTTGGGCTTACCCCTTTACCCCTTTTGTGTGTTTTTAAAGTGGCACCTTTTATTCCCTCCTAGAAAGATGATAGACTTAGTTTCAGAAGAGCTGTTTTGACTCTTGGTCCTGCTATGAATTTGATATGTAACTTTGGGCAAATTATGTAATCTATATTAGCTTTATTTGTTTCATTTGAAGATGGAGGTGGAACTATTTCTCAGGGTTATTATGATATCAAATGAGGTAATGTATGTGAGAGCCCCTTAATGTGAATTGATCTGCAAAGATAATGTGTTTACTTTAATTGACATTTAACCCAATTAAGATAATCATTATTTAGTAGCACTATCTCTAAATTCTGTCTAGCTACTGGAGATGAGAATCACGGAAACGAATGCTTTAACTGTTGTTTTTTTAAATGGACATTGTGGGTGTTTCTTCTTTCTCTTTTTTATCCCACTGAGTGCCTCAGAGAAAAAGAGATGCTAGCAAGGTGGGATGCTATTTCCTCTCTTAAGTTATTGATGCACATATTGTGTGTTGTAGTAATGATGAATAATAGCCAACACCGATGTAGTGCTAACTATTCCTGTACAGCTCCCAGAACTTCACAGTATTAACCCGTCTAGTCCTCCCAATAACCCTAGGAGACAGGTGCTGTTACTACCACCTGTATAAAGTGGGTGAAACCGAGGCACAGAAAGGTGAACTTGTTCAAAATTATATAGTCAGTTTTTTAGTCAAATTGAATTTTCTTGTATCTTTCATTCAATTCTGAGGGAAGAATTTGGCAAGAATCATATGTCATGATAAAGAATATCATGAATATTACTTGGGTCTTGGATACATGAAATGGCATCTCTTTTTGGATAAATGATACTGCCTGCATACATGCTGGGATGACTCAAAGAGAGTAACTTATTTTCCTTTCTTTTTCTTTTTTTTAAATACATTTTTATTGATTCCAGAAAGGAAGGGAAAGGGAGAGAGAGATAGAAACATCAATGATGAGAGGGAACCATTGATCTTCTGCCTCCTGAATGCTCCCCACTGGGCAGCCTGCAACCTAGGCCTGTGCCCTGACTGGGAATCGAACCGTGATCTCCTGGGTCATAGGTTGACACTCAACCACTGAGCCATACTGGCTGGGCTGCTTTTCTTTTTAATCTTCAGTGCATATTACTGGATATATTAGTGTTAAATTATTTCTTTCTCTTGAACCTAAGGTACAGTAACAGGAAGCTAGCCTTATCAGAAAAGTCCAGTCATCTGGGTCCCGTGCTGGAGGTGAAATAATTGAACCCCAAGCCCCATCTAAAGAGATATTCCAGAGCTCACACACCCTTTATTGTTTTTTTAGATTTAGACTTTGTTTGAATTAGGTTCATATATTAAGTCATTTTTAATTTAGGCATTTCCCCATTCATTTAAACTATTTTTTCATAAGTTTTATCAGTTTTATCAAAGGTCTTCCATGTGTCAGGGATGCTATAAGGAGTAAGATGGTGAATATGACAGTACATACTTTCTGCTTGTTGAATTTAGAGACTAGCAGGAGGAGACAGACAGTAGGCAAATAATCTCACGCTGCTCTGAATAGTGCTACAAGGGAGAGGAGCTCTGTGGTCCAGGGATGGATGAGAGAAGGCCTTTGGAGATCACTTGATGATCATAAATTACTTTCTTCTGGCTGTCTTTGGGCCTGTACAACATGTTGGAGATTTAGGGAGGCAGAGCTAAGAGAGGGCAAGTTAGCAAGAATAGATGGGAGCAGAGTTGGCAAGGCAGTGCATGATACAAAAACAGTGCATGACACAAAAAACAGTGCATGACACAAGGTGGCTACAGGGAAAAGAAAAAAGCAAAAGGTAATTCAAGCAGCATAACATATACATCCTTGAATATATCACAATATAGGGAATAATATTTGTTATGACTATCATTTTTAAGAAAAGCTATTGCATCTTCGTTCTACTCAATTCTGTGAAAAAGGGAGGGACGTCATTTAGAGTGATTTCCATTATCACAGTGGAAAGTACTTTATTGTTTGAAAATTTCTGTGTCAGTTTTATGGCAATTACTTTATCCAGAATGTTGGATAAATGGAATTATGGCCTACATTTATGCAAATATTTAAAATTAGTATGAATATTAATTGCAAAGGCATTGGGATAACAGTAGACCTTGGTTTCTGGTTCTACCTGGAAACCAGAGCCTGGATAAATCATAATTGAGAAATAATTGATTGCTTTACATTTACCACATGTCATTATAGTATTTGTTTGCCTTTGGATCCAAAACGGATATGATATGTAATAATCCTTCAGAGACTTCCTCTTTCCTGTTCATTGGTATATACTATTTACAATAGCGCCTGGTATATAACAGGCACTCAATAAATATTTACTGAATGTATGCATAAATAAGATAATCACACAAGTATATAATTACAAACTGTGGTAAATGAAACTATTTTTAAAACTATAAATATTTCACACAAGTGATGCTATTTATTTGAATTCTAGAAAAAATACAGTCTGCCAGAAGATAACCTGTTTATTTTTTGTATTGGATGTTTTCTCTCTCTTTTTTCTTTTTTTTCAATTACAGTTGACATTCAGTATTATATTAGTTTTAGGTGTACAGCATAGTGGGTAGAGATACAATTTAGGAAGTGATACACCCAGTAATTCTAGTGCTCACCTTTTACCATACATAGTTATTACAATATTATTAACTATATTCCCTTTGCTGTATCTTACATCCCTGTAACTACCGATTTGTACTTCTTAATCCCTTCACCTTTTACACTGAGCCCTATATCCCCTCCCATCTGGCAACCCTCAGTTTATTCTCTATATCAGTGAGTTTGCTTCTGTATTGTTTATTTTTCTCTTTAGATTCCACATATAAGTGAAATCATGTGGTATTTATATTTCTCTGTCTAACTTATTTCACTTAGCATAATACCCTCTAAGTCCATTCATGTTGTTGCAAATGGAAAGATAGTGTTCTTTCTTATGGCTGAGTAATATTCCACTGCATGTGTGCACTGCATTTTCTTTATACAACCGTCTATTGATGGGAACCAGAGTGCCCTACCTGCCTTTTGGTTGAAATGCAAATTGGTACAGCCACTATGGGAAATAGTATAGAGGATCCTCAAAAAAATTAAAAAATAGAACTACCTTATGACCTAGCAATTCCACCTCTGGTTGCTTTCTTTTTAAACATTTACTTCCTAAGTGTTTCTCTTCCTTTATATCCATGGTTTATAATATTGAGTTCTACCTTTCTGGTTCTGTAGCCCCTCGAACCCAGTTCAATTACTCTCTAGAATAGAGATTCTTACCTACGCTCAGTGAAGCTTTGTGAAGTCTGTCATTGTCTCCTGAGGCCTCGTGCAATCCTAAAAACTAGGCCAAAGGTGCATTTTACTAGAAACATTTCCCATAGCTTTCATCAGATTCTCAGAGTACATGCCTCCCCTCCCCCCCGCCACACACACATATACCAGTTTAAGAATAATTGCTCTAGAATATGTATTTTTCTTTTCACTTTTTGATATTTATTGGTTTATTTTTGTTGCTTCTTTTCCCATGAGATGGTTTTATTTCCCTTTTAATATTCATGATTATGTTTGGGTCTTTTAAAATGTTTACTGTTTGTCCCCAGCATGTGGTATTCTTGGATTATTGTACGGCCTCTGATCCTAGCCCTTCTCTCTTGTCTCTTTTTTGTCTGGCCAACAGTGTGGGGATGTGCCAACTGCAGGCTTGTGCTATCCAACCCTTCTGGGACCTTTACTTCTCCATGCTACCCTAACGACTACCCTAACGCCCAGTATTGCATGTGGACCCTCCGAGCTCCTGCTGGCTATATCATTCAGATCATGTTTAATGACTTCGACATTGAAGAAGCGCCCAATTGCATTTATGACTCATTATCCCTTGATAATGGAGAGAGCCAGAAGAAATTTTGTGGAGCAACTGCCAAAGGCCTATCGTTCAACTCAAGTGCAAATGAGATGCTTGTGTCCTTTTCAAGTGACTTTAGCATCCAGAAGAAAGGTTTCAATGCCAGCTACATCAGAGGTATGTAAACCAAAGACAGTGCCAACCCCTGCTTTCGTTTAACACGTTCTACAGTAAACACAGAACCAGAAGCCAGACTGATGCTCTTTTATGTGGATGTGAATGATTAGGATTAGAATGTAAGGGCAGGAAGTTGTTAATATTCTCTGAGTATTCTCATTAGCAGTAGATAGCTAGTATATCCAAAAAGATCTGCTTGTCGTAGAGCTGAATTCCTTTATATTGTTTACATGCAGAACATATAAAGGCTGCTTGGAAGACAGTAGATTTTCCACAGCTAATAATTAAAATCTGTAATTTTAACATCTCTCTACTGAATGCTTAAAACATTCCTATTTATAAATCATTTTCTTGTAGGCTTTTAAGATGTTGCCTTTTAAGGAACTATGCTAGGGGATAAATATAAAAATTAGCGTAGAATTTAAAATTTTTAAAAGAGCTATTTATTACTTACTGCTAATAAACAACATAAACTGAGGAAAGCCTCTTGAAACATGGCAATTGAAGAAAAGAAAATACATTTTTGTCAAATACATTTCCCAGATTCTGGCATGTCTTAATATTTAAATAATTCTGTTCTTTCTAAAACCCATCATTGCTTAAGAAGAATGCAAGCTTCAAAACTGTGAGATGTAGTTATACTATTTTTTATCTTGAGCTTCTTAAGTAGATATCATGTATCAAGGAAAGAAACAAAAAAGAAAGGCACTACAATGAAAATCAGTCATCATTATAAATTGTGTTTTTGGTGGCAAGGTTATTTGCTGTTTGTAATTGACAGATATGTGGTTAATTGAAACACATGCTTTAATTCTTCAAATAATGTTTTTAAAATGATAAAATATTATAGGAAATTTGAAAATAGAAAGGAGAAAATTAAAAATACCTATTGATATACCCCCTCAGCCATAACCACTAATAAAATATTGATGGGCATGCTTGCTCCTAGCCTTTTGATTTTAACAACGTATGTAGAATACTGGGTTCATATTGCATAAGATCCCATTGAGTAAATAGACCTGTGAACTGTTTTATATTTAAAAAGTAGACTAACATCTACAATTCTATTAAATTCCATCATGGATTTTTAACTAAAATATTTATATAAAATGATGTTTCTTACCATCAACCTATTCTTGGTGTATATTAAAGTATATTCAAAGTAGTGATCATTTGAAACCAGTATTAAGCAGTATTTTTTAGGAGAGCTGCTTCTCTCTCAAATCAGTTGATGATGTTTCATAGTATCTATTATATTAGCATCGGGCTAAATACATTGTATTATTTCATCATTTCACATATGTCACAGGAAGACGAGGCTAATTTATGTTATTTTGAATTTATTATGCATATCATAAAAGTAATCTATATTAGTAATCAGTACTAGCTATAGATTGATATGGCACAGGCACTGACCTAGTGCTTTGCAGACATTAACTTAATTAATTCCTATTGACCACCTGTGTAATAGGCGCCATGGTCCTTCATTTTGCAGATAAAAAGGCAAGGGTAGAACAATGTGAATAACTTGTCCAAGGGCACACAGCACAGTGGAAGGGTTGGGATAGGGAGCTCCATTGTCTGCCCTTTGAACCACTGCCCCTTACTATTCCTCACAAACTAGCTCAAATGTAAAGGAAATAGTGCTTCAAATTACTGTTTTGCTTGTTGTGTTACTAGACTCCCTCTCCTCAATGGCAGTGTCTTTTCCTTCATTCCTGAAATCCCTTTGTGATGGGGGACATGAGTAGGATATGGGGTGTCTGAAGAGGAGAAAGGCAATTGTTAATGAAAAATAGAACTATTAGTTATTATATTTAGAAATTATTTGAAAACTAACATTTTTTAAAAAGTCTTACATATTAATAGAGCTTTCTTGAAACCAGTAGTTTTTTAATTATTATTTTTTTCTTTCAGTTCAGGGATGAAGAAATATACTTGTTATTAACTTGGCTGGTTTTACCTCAAAGATTTAAGTGTGATATCCAACCATGATTAGAATTTAAATGGGTGGGATTTTTTATTGCTATTACTAATATTGGTATAAGGTAATGGGTTGGTGATAGAGGGTAGATGAACAGCAAAAGAGGAGAGCCATAGGCAAAAAAGTCAATTAATGGTGTGGTTGGGTGTATCAGACATTTTATCTCTCATTAGTCCGGATCTGAAGTTAACATCTTTTATCTGTTATTATGTTTTGTCCTAGTCGCTGTGTCCTTAAGGAATCAAAAGGTCATTTTACCCCCGAAACCAGATGTGTACCAGGTGTCTGTTGCAAAAAGTGTCTCTATTCCGGAGCTCAGTGCTTTTACACTCTGTTTTGAAGCAACTAGAATTGGCAAGGAAGACAGTGAATGGATGGCTTTCTCCTACTCAAATGCATCCTTCACACAATTACTCAGTTTTGGAAAGGACAAGAGTGGCTACTTTCTAGCTATAGCTGGCTCAAAATGTTTACTAAGCAGTGTGTTTCCCATGAAGGATAAAGAAGACGTTTTCACAGAAAGCTTTGAGCAGTTCTGCATTGTTTGGAATAATTCTTTTGGTTATATTGGTGTAACTTTCAGAAGATGGCACAATATAGTTCCATGCAATGCTAGCATTAATAAAGTTATTTCTGGGAATGGGAAATTGTTGTTGGGCTCCAATCAAAATGGAATTGCCTCTCTAAAAGCAGACATTTATAACTTTCGACTTTGGAATTTTTCCATGAGTTCCCAAATCCTCTTCAACCTCAGCTGTAATGTGAAAGGGAATGTGGTCGACTGGCAAAACGACTTTTGGAATATCCCAACCCTTGCTCTGAAAGCTGAAAGTAACCTAAGCTGTGGTAAGTCTGTGGCCTATTAACTCTTTTTCTAAAGCATTGCTCTATGAATATGTTTGGCAACAAAAAATTGCATATACATTATGTATATAAAATTATATATGTACACATATATAATTACATTATGCATATATTTATGTGGAATAAGTACATATATGTATATACATTTGCATATATATAGTTAGCATTAATTAGCTCTTTTAATTTTTAAAATGTTACCTGCTCAGTTATTCATTGTAAACGTTTTATTATAAGCCATATTTTTTTCAATCAAAGCCTTTGATTATACCATTTTTAAGTTTTCTTTATGTCATAAAATATTACAATTTATCACTAACAAACAATAGTTATAATTATCACGTATCAAATAGAAATATTAACACCAGACCTGAAACAAAAGAAACTAATAAGTTATTGTTTTTAATTACATAGATGATACAGCAAAATGCTGATTTTTATTATGTTATTTAAATAAACCACCACCACCTAAAAGCATGGTATTTACTCAATCAGTATTAAACATCACAACTGTCCATTTAAGGAAAATCTTTGATAATCAGAAATTATCATTGTTTTATTTGAACTTTTATTCTATTTATTTGAAAATGAGCTTTGTCATTTGTTTCAAATACTCTTCTCTTTGATTGCTTTTGAGAGACTTTAAATGTGATAATATTAGATGTAGCTAAATGCAAAATGCTAAGAGAAAATAATTCTGTGTAATATAATTATATTAAAACTAGAAGCCCGCTGCATGAAAATTCATGCACTCAGGTGGGTCTCTCAGCCCAGCCTGCAGCCTCTCACAGTCCAGGAGCCCTCAGGGGATGTCTGACTGACAGCTTAGGCCTGCTCTGGGGAGAGCGGGCCTAAGCTGCAGTCTGGCCTCCCTCGGTGGGAGGTCCTGCTGGCATGCGCCTCAGCTGGCCTGGCGCCACCCCCCGCCGACTGGTCGTACTGCCACTCAGTTGATTTGCATATTATGCTTTTATTATATGCGACCAGCGTGCCAATCAGGGGACATCACAGTGAGCGGCCAGCCCCGCCCCCATTGTCCCACCTGTGGCAATGGGGTGGGCTGATCAGAGTCTGGCGCAAG